TTCAAAAACAAAAAAAAATGTAGGGACCAACAGTTTCTTAAAAAAAAGTTTTATATTCTTTGTGAGGAAAACAAAAAGAGCAACAAGCAAAGATGTTTTCAGATCAGTGATGATTTAAATAAACAGAAGCAGACAAACCAGCATCCCAATCTGCTAAAGAGATTATGAGGGATGCCTGTATGTCTCATATGTACATTGAAAGTAAAATAGTTGTTGAATTTTAAGAAAAAGTAAAACCAGTCGTCTAAAACTCAAGTTAGTGACTCATAGAAAAGCAGAGCTTCAAAATTAAAATGCATCATAAAGGTCAATGCATTTTTTTTGTTTTAAAGATCAACTGTGCATTTATTTTCTGTATAATTGGTTTTTCTGCTTTGTGAAGTGGCCATAGGATCGTACTGTTGGTTGATGTACAGTCATTTGTTAATACAAAATAAATGAAATGGAAAATAATTACATTTGTTAAACCAGACTGAACTGATTTGGACTGAATTGTGCCCTGGGTGTGGGACCTCTTTGGCCCACAGAGGCTTTACCTCCTGGAGTTGATGGTTTACAGAGCTGAAATCTGGTGAGATCATCACTAATGAGACAGGGAGGGAGCTTTTAAAGTACTCTTGCCTCACTGCAGGCTTTATGGTTGCATTTGCAGTGATTCAGGCTGTAGAGATTACCTTAGACTGAGTCTTTCCAGCTCAGCCCCAGAAGGTAATGAATGAAGACGGAAGACGGAACATTTTTATTTTAAGAGACTTTCATAATGATAATTGTCTATAATGTAAAAGGAAGTCAGGCCTGAACAAAATGGCTTTTAGAGTCCAAAGTATTTAGTGTGACCTTCCTTTGCACTTAGCACAGCTTGAATTCTTTTGGGGAGAATGTGTTGAAGTCTTGAAACCATGACAGACCCTCCACCATGTTTCACTGAAGGCTACAGGCACTCATTCTTCCTCCTCTCTCCAACTCTTCTTTTCACATGCTGTCAATGATTGACCTGCAAATTTCATACTTCAATTCCTCACTCCATAATCCTCTTCCCCACTAATCTTTGTGAGCTTTTGCATATCTCAGCCTTTTCTGCCTGTTCCCCTTCTGAAAATGCGGTTTTTGGCTGCTGTCCTTCCACAAAGTTTGTTCCTGATCAAGCTTCTTCAGACTGTGGAAGGATCAACTTGGCATCCGGATGAAGCTGCCAGATGCTGAGCCAGGTCCTTGCTGGATTTCCTCCAGTCTCTCAAAGAAGAAACTCTGAGAAACTTCTCATCGGATTTGGACAGTTTTCTTGCTCTTTCAGATTTTGTCCTTGGCCTCTCCGGACTCTCCATGAATTTTTTTTTTTTTTCTTTTTTAAGACCAGCTTCAATGCCATATGTTGACTATGCAGTTTTGTTGTCACAGGTTAACCATAGTTTTTTCTAAACACAAAAGGGGTCTACTAAGTCAAGTTACACATAAAGCTGACTGTTGTCTCCCAATACGTCTACATTTCTAGAAGGAAAAATAAAATCCCTTCTAAGTGGGTGTTTCTGCCACATTTTGATAAGGTCCCCAGACCTTTGACCACCAAAATCAAATCAATCCGTCCTTGTCATCTGTGCCAAATCTACCCTGAAGGCGTTCAGACGGATGGACAATCCGACAATATCGCGTCTCGATGCCGCAGCTGTCCGTCAGTGGACGGATTTAGGGGTCTCGATATATTAATTCAGATTTGACTAGTGAACGATAAAACTAAATGTACTATACGCACTTGTTATAAGAAGTCGGTTGAAACAGAAAAGTGTTAAATTAACCGTTACCTCTAAGATCAGAGTAGTGTGATTACCACCTGGTTATCCATAGTCGGACAGAGGAATATCGGGGTGTCTCGTCACCTCTTCCCTCTTCTGTGCTTCCTTTCGTTGGGAGGTGGGTGTTGCCTGTCCAGTGCTGCTTTCTGCTCGCTGACTGGGAGGACGGGGGTCTCTTGTGGAGGATATGAACCCCAGCCTCAGCACACAGGGGAAGCTGTGCTCACCAAAAGCGGTAAAACGGTCTCAAATGAGCGGCCGCGTTCTAATCGGGAAAGTGCCTCCTCTTCAATCGACGCCAAGAGCCCAAAGAACCTTACTCGTCAAGCCAAGGTAACGGTGATATTTCATCACTTTCCTCTTAGTCACACGGAACAACTTTTTTTAAAAGCGTTTGCATTTTGTTGATATGCCATAGCCGGTTTCTTTATGCTTTGTCCGATAATGGCGCTTTCTCTGGGGATTAAAACACTAATTCCTTGGGTTTAATTTATTTTAAACATATTATAGTTTTTGACTCAGTAACATCTGCTAACAAGCTACTCTAGAGTAGATGTATTCCTCTGCTTTCACAACATTTTGGGTAACCTATTCTTTAATAAAGACAGGCTGTTACTGGGATAATTTTATGCTACAAGTCCTGTAAGTATAGTTCCTTATTTTAGCTGGTCACTGCTGAGCATCTATCTGGGCTACATGTGAATTGACAAGGAAGATGAACATTTGATAAAATATGAAAAAAGTGAAAGTGCATAATGTGCGGGTACTAGAGGTTGCAATATCCATGGAAACATTTTATTCTTGGAGGACACTGATGCTACCTCAGCCATCTCTTCTGCACTCACCCAGAGGACATGCCTCATCTTTGTTATCCTTCATTCACAGAATACACACATTGCCAGAGATGAACTTGGATGCCTTCTTTTTGCTGTTTGCTAGTGTAGTGCTACAGCAGGACTTTCATGTCATGTCATCCATGCTTTTCTGGCTCTGTCTGTCTGTGCGGTACCTTCCACCTATGCTGTCTTGCCACAGAGGCAAGCAGCACTCATGCATGTCTGTGTGTGTTTTTAGTTATGGTGTTAGATCCAGGTCCAAGTCTGAACAGTGACTGTAAAGTCCCCACCCTGCACCACCCCATCAATTATTCCTCAGTCTTTTTATACCAAAACATTTTCTAAAGTATGGACCCATGTCGTAGATGTTAGAGTTCCACGGAAAACAAAGTTAATTGCCACCCTATGTATGAATTTAGTATTTTGCTGGTGTACTTCCGCCCTCTCCCTGTCTGGATTTCACCCTTGGGAGCAGACAGTTTGGCTTGAAATATCACCTCACCATCCCTCCTGCGTCTTCATAGGTTGACGTCCCTGTGGGGTTATTCATGGCCCCTGTGTTACTCCCCAACAGAGGTGGTATTGTTCAAACGAACATCTGTGCTCAGTGTAAATCAAACTTGTAATTGAGGGTATGTGGGGGAAAATCCCCAAATTAAACACTTATTTTTTCCTGCTCATGTCAAACTTTGCCTCTGTGGTCATCTATCTGTAGTCGCAAATCTTTATTGCAGTGTTGATTTTATGCCTCTGAATGCTCAGGTCCAGTGCAAAGTGTCAGGGTAAACTTTTACAACTGCGACTACAATGCAACTACAGCCATGTGATTACTTTAAATCCCATTCTGAATGTGTCCAGGCCATTTTTGTCTCCCTGTGTTTTTCTGCACAGTTTCATGTTCTGTGCCTCTGCTAATTGCAGACTACAAACCCACAAAGAACATTTTCAGCTCAGTCAGGAAAGCAAAAGAAAGGGAAAAGAACTGATTCAGCTCAAGCAGTGACTCAGCTTTAAAGGGTCTTATTAGCCTAATTTACCTTTTCCACTCTGCCACATTTTTGTCCACACAACACAAATTTGATTACCACCTGTGGTTGCCAGAAGAAATGAAGGGGAACGTAATTATACAAAGCCCAATCCGGACTTGTATATAGCTCTCTGCAGATATAATCTTTGTGTAAAGCACATAAAAGTGTAATAACTCTTCAGTTTTCAGCTCCTTTCTATTCTGAACTGTTTATCTAACTTGGATGTTTTGGTTGACAGAGTGGTTACGTCTCATATTCAACTCCATGATCTGCATTTTAAGTATATGCGTCCAGAGATCCGATGCTCAGTGAGCTGTTTCTCTGGACTCTGCTGGGACTGTCCATCTCTTCCTTGGTCACACAAGGAGCCAGTCTGGCAGCATCTGTTTCAGGGCAGCACCGGACTTCAGTGTGGGGTGGAGGGACGGGTCACGAAGGGTTTAGGAGCCTGTCACTCTGATTTGTGCTTCTTTAGAGCATACCAGACTGCTTTCTGAACTCTGAGCTGTCAGTTGCCATTGTTGTTGTTCAGTATGATGTAGCTCTGACTACCCTGTCAAGTTTCCCTTGAAGCTACAGCTAAAGGCTGCAGTGTTTTAAGAGTAGGGCCTCTGCTGTCATGTTGATTTATTAAATTATGATGAAGCTTCTGTTTTTGTAAAAATTAAAATTAAAATTAACTGTTCAAAACAAATCACTTTATTATGATTCTGATGATGATATGACTTTTTGTAGTTGTTTCCCCAAACAAAGTAAGTTGTGATGGGTTGCTAAAACCTTTAACCTTTGTAAAGTTCGTGACTAACCAGCCAAACAAGAACCAGTGGGAAAAAAATGCAAAGAAACAACATTTTGATGATCTCAGTGCAGAACTTTGATGATTAAAACATGATTTTAGACAAATAATTCAGAACTGCATTTGCTTTTGATCAGTTTGAGCTGCCACAGATTTTGGATTTATCAAAATGAACACAGTAAATAATCATGATACTGCTCGGTAAGCTGTTATACACGTGTAAACATAAATCTTTCCTCTTTGAATGTGCAAAATCAAACATTTGATCAAGCCATAAGTAAAAGCAAGTTTTGGAACAAGTACTTTATGATAATGAAAATTGGCTGATGAGCAAAACATTTGCACTTTAATTAGAACTGAAATTTCAACTTTTCAGGGTTTGTTCATCATATGACCTGGAGCTCTGATATACAGTAGTTGGATCAAAGCAGCTGAAGCCATGTTGAATTACCTTCTCCCCTTCAAACACAGATTTCTGCAGCTTTTCCTACTGTACACTTAACTTGACAAGATGGCATTTTGTTAACCTGTCATCTATGTATTGTTTCAGTTGGGATGAGAGCAGCTCCATCAGCAGCGGGCTCAGCGACGGTGACGGCGATGGCTCGGAGAACCTCAGTTCAGAGGAGTTCAATGCCAGCCTCTCTCTCAACTCCCTGCCGAGCACACCCCTGGGATCCAGACGTAGCTGCTCTGTTATGGTGAGCTGGAATATTGTAGCTAGCAGTGTGTGATACAGCATGAGGTGAAGTTTAGCTTTCCTTTACCTTGTTTTGTTTGTAAGGGCAATGCCATTACTTGAAACACTTTAATTTATTCACTTTGTGTCGTGTGTTAAATGCAAGTTCTTTACTTTGAAGGCCACACAAGACACCAGACCTCACCTCTGTTATTAAATGAAACTAAAGAGAAAAGCAGCCTGTCCCAGTGCAGTGAATCTTTACTGTGGCAGAACATTGAAGCCCCTCTTCACTCAGAAATGTGCTTTGCTTTTTGTTACTTCACTTGGATGTTTGACTTTCACTGGGCAGAATAATGTGTGTGCAGACACAAGAATGTTGTTTTCACTTCATCTACTGAAGGCGGGGTGTTTAGCTGTGATCACCTTTTAAATCTGAGTTTGACATTTATAGTATGTATAAGCATGATTTAGTGATTATTGGAACGAGTTTGGAATCCAGTCACGGTCCAGTATGAAACTTGCACAAATGTGCTATGAAAACATGAAACCTCCAACACACTTGTGGTGAGAAGGGACCTTTCAGCTCAGCTTTTGAAACGAACACTGAATAAATATTTTAAAATTATTAGATTATGGACAGTTTAATGGGGAGAGGAAGCATGTAGTTTAGGGATTTAATTTAAGAACTTTTAGTAGGTAATTGAAACTTATTGTAAAAACAACATATCAGACAACTTGTTTAAATTTGTGATAGTTTACCTTATGGCGTTCTCACAGGTTCATATATTCAGGTTCTCATATATTTTACTTGTTTGTAATAAGAAGAAAATGCTTACTTGCCAAACTTTCACTGGGGAGAAATCAATGTCAGTGGTACTCAATGAGCCATCTGTCGCTCTATCAGATTCATAGGCTGCCAGGAAGCAGCGTGCACAATTTTGTTTGCAATGCTACCTCCTCAGTGAACCACATGATAGCTTTTATTTTGTCCACCACACAATGATACATTAAAAAATATAAACTTAATTTCGATGATATTGTTTTCCTTTCATTCTTTTGATATATTGATTTATCTCTGAAAGTGTTTGTTTTTTGTTTCACTTCCTTTGTCTTCCTCTGTGGTTTGCTTTATGTCTCTCCTTCCTTCCCACTGGAATGCAGCTTAGATGAAACAGATTACAGAGAAAGTTCAACTTGGCGGATAATAAAGACGGTGTATAATGGTTACACATATGGTGCATCTTCTCTTTCTCTCCCTGCAGCTCCGCACTGATGCAGAGAAACGGTCCTTGGTGGAAAGTGGGCTTTCTTGGTACAGCGAGGATGGAAAAGTCAGCCACAAGCTCGATAGCTGCAGCTATGACACAGGGAGTCTGAAGACAGACGCCCCAAGCAAGTGGAGAAAGAAGCCTCCAAGCTTCAGTGAGGACTTAGGGGGTAAAGGAGAACTTAAGAAGCCTCAAATGTTAGGTCAACCAGGGAGTTTCAAGAAGGGCCGCAATCCTCCTGTGGGCGTCACCTCTCCCATCACCCATACATCCCAGAGCCTGCTCAAAGTCGCAGGTGAGATTGGTGGGTGCATATTCTCTCTTTTCATCTACACATCTTTTTCTTTTTCATCTCCTCTGCTGTTCCTCTCCTATATGAATAGGGTGTATCACTGCTAGGGATATGTCATCTGTTATCTCTTTGTATGACTCCAGATGTAAAACAGTGTTTATACAGCAGGCAAGGCAGATATCTGCTTGCTGTCAGAATGAATACAGAAGTGCATCCCTTAGCCTAAGCAAGGTTTTGGTTTGTAGCACAGCAGAGTATACTGATGAAAAATGCACCATGAAATCTATTTCACTAGAAAAAATGAAATGTTGGTTTAAAGGCCAAAGCCATGTTTCTTCTGTTATCTCAAAAGAAAGGCTGTTGTTGTACAAGTCTGCAGAGACTCTGTGTCTGCTGGAGCTACGTTTATCTCTGTCCTTTAATGCCTAAAAAAATCATGGCATGATTAAATAGTAGTTTTAAGAGAGAAATGATCCACAACAGTGCTAATTATCTATTTCAGTTTCAGTTATGTTAGTGGGGTGGTTGTTATTTTGTTAGACCAAGTTAACTGGCACATCAACCCATCCAGTACATCCATTCATCTGTTCCTTTATTCAGGGTCATGGTGACTGCAGGGCAAACTGAGCAGCCCAAACATTCTTGGTGCTTCCTATCACTGAAATGCATTTAACTGTGAAGAAACCTGCCATACTGTTGTTGTTCAACTATGCAATGTTGTTTTCTCTTTATGCAGCACCTAAAAGTGAGAAGCCACTAGACAAATCCAAGATTTCCATTAAAGCAGCTGGTCTACAACGGTCTCGCTCTGATGCTGGCAGGGACCATCATGGAGAGCATCGCAAGCCCCCATCAGGTTTAGTTAAACCTACTGCTGGAGCCTCGTTTGGGTACAAGAAAGCACCAACAGCCACTGGCACCACCATTGCAATGACAGCAGGGGGCGTCACTATCTCCAGTGATTCTGCTACTGTGGGGAAAATCCCCAAGTCATCTGGCATCCCTGTGAAGCCTGTGGGAGCAGGAACACCCTCGGGTCGAAAGAACAGTTTTGATGCCAGTAGTGAGCAGAGCTTCTTGGGGCCAAATGCCCGAAACAGCATTCAGTACCGCAGCCTGCCTCGACCAGCCAAATCAAGTGCGTTCAGTGTGATTGGTCGACCTGCGGCCCGGCCTGTCAGCGGTACCATTGACCCCAGTCTGCTGAGTCTGAAACCTGTGCCCTTGGCTTCCACAGGCCCCAGGCTTAAAGAGCCTAATAGTGGCAGCAGCAAAATGGCTAATCGAACCACCATGGGTCCAGTGAACCAAACCGACAGAGAGAAGGAGAAGGAGAGAGCAAAGGCCAAGGCTGTAGGTGCTGATATAGACTGTGGTTCTCTGAAAGGAGAGGTGACTCACTCTGAGTCCACCGGAGAGTCTGCCGTGAAAGTGCACGGCCTGAGGCGGACCAGCAGCAGCAAGTACCCTGAGCTGTCATCACCCACCACACCAAGGTGTCTCATTTAAATACTGTTCCAAAGGCATGTTTTACCTAAATTACCAAAAAAAAAACCACATATTTTTCGATAGTTTTTGTTTTGACACTATATGCCTGGGATTTCTGCAGCCGTCCCAGTGCCACAGGATACAGGCCTACAGGATTCAAAAATGTCTTCAGTAAATCTCTTTCCAGAAATGGTGTCATAGTTAAATAATCCACAGAGCCTGCTTTTGCTTTCTACCAGAGAAATGGTCCAGAGTAACGGCACCAGTTTTATGGATTTACAGTATGTTCCTTTTGAACTTTGGGGGCAGAAATCTCAAAACCTTATCAAATACAAATTCAGCCATTTGCCTGGTTACAGTGTTAGAAATTAGAAAAATGTAAACTCATTTGGGTGAAAGACTCATTAAAAAGGACAAAAATCAAAGCAATTAAATGATACACATCACACACACACACATGCATGGGTCCAGTCATGCCTTTGCCACCTAAGTTTCTTGACGTTTTGTTTCTTCTGTCTGTTTCCTAGGATGTTGAACACCAAGTCTCTAGGTCGCCCGCCCAGCCTGGCTCACCTGGACAAGGTCAACTCCAACAGCCTTGACTCCTGTGTGACCATCCAGGACCTCCCACCCAAAGTCCCCCCATACTCCAAGCTTCAGGACTTAGCAGGTTCCCACACAGCTGCCCGCCTCACCCCCAGCCCAGCGCCCGTCCTCCACATCGATTCACCCAATTCCTACACCAGCGAAAGCCTGAGCCTGAGTGGATCACCGCTACTTTATCCTAAGTTGTCTGGTATGCACCGCAGCTTGGAGTCCCTGCCCCTCCAGATGAGCGTACCCTCCACCACAAGGTTTGTCACAGCTGAGACGCATGACAAGGAAGAAAGGGGTACAGGAACCTGGGGGGCCGGGAGCAGGACATCCCTCAACCTCTCAGATAGGCAAGTCTCAAAAGTATCTACTGTCCTTTGTGACAACACATCCTTCCATCATTTTGACAGCAATGCACGTTAGTTTTGTTGTGGTTTTAATGTAATTGGTTTTAACTTTCTTTTCTTCTTTGTTTATTAATTTTGGTGCTCACAATGGTTCAAAGGTCTAAACGGAAATAAATTTGAAATAAAAGTAGTGGTTAAGAAATAATCTTTCACAGCTGCTCTTTGACTTTCTCATGAACTACTAGCGGTAGGAGCAGCTGCATTTATCCCAGCAGTGGATAATGTGTGAAACATGATGTCCAGTTGAAGCAGTATTTCAGTGTGAAGACATCCAACATTTGGCCATGACTTTCCTGGCAGTCAATATATCATCCACCCATATTTTATGTGCCTTTTCTGGGAACAGAAAGTCTGAGCTGTCATTTGGAAGATGAAGGGCTGTATCCATCAGACAATGTCTGCCAAGGTAGAGATGGTCCGAGTTTTTCCTGCCAAAGCAATGTACTTTTACGCAGTCCCATGCTGTGTTATAAAAGTGCCCAGTATACAAAGAGGGCTGCAAGATAAGCCCATATGATGTCTGACCTGGATGTTATGCGATCGTATGACAAAGCGTGAATGAATAATTTACTGCTAATATTTGTGTAAGGCTCTGTGAAACTTTTTTAAACTAAGAATTATTACTAATATTTTCATTTTCTTCTTTACAGCTTACAAACTGATAGGAATACCCTGCCAAAGAAAGGCTTAGAGTATGTAAAAACTATTCCTGTAAACATCTATTTGAAGTCTCACACTGCTTATGGATCTTCATTGTCTGACATAACCTCTCTTCTTTCAGACGCTGTGGCTCAAGCCTGTCGGAGAGTGAAGGAAGCAAACCAGGAAGGCGCCACTCCCACACCATAGTCAGCATGACAGAGAGCAATAGCCCCCCTCAGCTGCCTTCTCCCACCCGCCCTCTCCACCCCTCCTCCAGCAAGGCTCCTCTCACCAACGTGGGTGAGTCTGCTTGTTCTACATGGCTGCCAAGTTCTAAAAGCACGGTTGAGTCGTGAAACTGACTTTGCGAAGCCATCATCTCATTGTTGATTATTACTGAGGGCAGGGATATTGAGTTCACCCTGAGAGAAAGACCAGCTAAGTTTTTACAGTTCAGTAATGTTGACACAAGTTGTGAATAATAAATTGTCACATCTAAGTGATGAAGTGGTGACAGTAGTGTAGTATAAAAATGAACCCTATGAATATGATGATCGCATATCTACCACGCATTTAGACTTTATTTCAAATCTGAAATATGCAGGAGATGGAAGCAACAAGGGGTCAAGTGAAGCTATATTTATCTCTTTGACTGATGTGAAATCATAGTGCTGCCTTACACGGAGTCATCAGAACAAGGGCTCTACACCTACTGTATGTGTATGCCCACTCTGTGGGTGTCAGTACTTCAATACTGCATCCTAAACTGTGCCTCTCACCGAATGTCTCTCTTTTGTGAAAGTTGCCCCAATTTCCAGCGACACTCCAAGGATATCACGTTCCAACAGCACAGGCCCCCGTAGTGACTCCTCCTCTATGGATCTCTATGGATCCTCCCCTCTGGGTAGCAGCATGTCTCTGGCTGACCGGCCTAAAAGCATGATGCGGTCCGGGTCGTTCCGTGAACCAGGGGAAGATGGTGAGCCTGCTCAGTCGGCCGCCCTGCAGGGGAGTGGCCCAACACGGCCTCATATGAAACAAAGCTGTCTGCTCATACTGCACACAATCTGTTAAGCACAATGTTAGCAGGACATTTGTTTTCATGAATAAGGAAAGTGGGGAGGAGTCTTTTAGAATAATACTGAAAGCCACAAATGTCTATACTGTACTGCTACATCACTGGGTTTGTAAGCATCACCACAATTATAGTATATAGAAAACATGTGCTGGAAATGCATTTCCACACACAAGGTCACTCATCTAGGACAAGGTCTTGGCATCTTCAGTGATTCTGTTAGACCTACTACTAAAAACATCAGACACTTAAATGCAAAACCTTAGAAATATTACCATGAACAAAATGTTCCAATATGAAATTCTGAAGTTTGTCAGAGATTTTCTGAGATCCCACTCAGTTTGTACAGATATTGGAGGGAAACAGATTTGGAGTGAAATTTCCTTGGTTTATGTTTGAGGCTGGAACCAAGGAATGCTTTGAAGCAGGACTCTTAATAGAAAAGGGATTCTCCAACATGAGGTTTGTGTGTGTTATCAGATGCTACCCTCCTCTTTAACACACAAAATCTTAATGGTCACTCTGTGTGTATGGAGATACTGGTAGAGGTGAAGAAGGGAAAGGTGTATTTTAGAGGGAGCAGGCTGTATGTGCCACACAACAACGCTCGAGAATCTTCAACACATATTTGAACCTGCTTTCACTCTCAGATAACTGGCGGGTGTTTTAATATACAGTCTACCACTAGACTATCACTAACAGGTTGTTAAAGCAGTAGTTTGGCATTTGATTTCCATTTAAAAGTAAAACTACAATATAATAACATGCTGAAAGTGAATGTACCGTATGCAGTACCGTGTACAGTGGCTTCAGAAAGTATTCAGACCATTGAAGACTCCTACTCGAATCCCTTAAGCCACTGTATACAGTATGTTCCTAATGAGCTGACTGAGTTGCGGCGACATGAGACAGCAGAAAGTGCAGGAAGAAATTGGTTTTTGATTCCAAGCATTTAAGTACTTGTTTGGCCGAGTGATACTTCAAAACTGCCTTAATAAAAATCAGCTACTTTAACATTAAAGTCAAATCTCACCCTTGCCTTTTTACAGTCCATGGCTCTGTGCTGTCTTTGGCATCCAACACTTCGTCCAACTATTCCTCGGTGAGTACAATCAGGCACTTTATGTACAGTACAATAAACCCTTTTCATATAATGTTACTTTTGCTGGAGTTCAGTGTTTTGTGCTACATACACTGTCATCTTCAAAGTGACCATTTAGAAAAGCTCCTCCAGTATAGAACAATGTTAGATCTCTCCATTACAGCCAACACAAGCAGTCTGGTTTTAATCAGTGTTGAGGTTTAGTGACTCGACTATGAGTGCAGTCCCCGGTGTTCAAGTCCAAGTCATTAAGGTCTACATTAAACACAACTGACACAACTCTCACCATTTCATATTCCAGACTTTCTAACAGCGCATTGCGTCACCGTATTGCTCGGCAATTTGATACCTAAAAATCTTTTATAGAAAGGCCAAGTGTACACTTTGATGGAAGTGTGCTGGATACAGCGTGGTGCGAACAGGTTTTAATGTCAGTATCTTAAGCCAAATTATTATGGTCTATTACAAGAAAATTCAGTCGGATCTGAGTCAGTGCCCTGGACTCAAGTCCCACAACACTGGTTTTAATATGATGATTTTATGACAGGTAGAACATTACATACTTTGTAATAAATTCAATGAGCCTCCTCCAGTTGTTTGTAAACCACTTAATACACTTAACAAGTGTTTGGTACCTGATTCGATTCCTTATTTTTATCATTGTCTTCTCTAAAACTTCAGTAATGCCCCTTTTTTTACTGTTACTCATTAATAAATAAGTTAATCCTCAAAAATATTCAGTTTTTATTGTGTATTTGTTTTCGCCATGCCTTCTTAAGAATGAGGAGAGGATACAAGGGGAGGTAAGGCCGATGTGCCAAAACTCTTCAACCCATATTGTGCTTTTCCATAATCCGATCATGTTATGCTCCGAGAAGTCTGACCACCGATCTCATAACTCGGTTCATTAGGTTTTGTCTCTTAACATTTTTCATCCATAGCTCCACCTTTTAACATTTAATGAAGGCATTATCAGGCCTCATAAAATGATCAGTGCATGAGAAAAGGGGTGAAGATTTCTGTTATCCCATGATTATAACATTTTATATGGGTTTAGCATGTTTTTGTTTTTTTTTTGTTTGTTTTTATTTTTTCCTGAGTCATTTCCGTTTTTGTTGTGGGCCAGTACTTTTCCTTTTTAACACATTCCACTGAGTTATCAGCATCAAACCCGGCACTTCTTCCTTTTGATCCCAAGGTTCTTTTTAAGTCCTATACTACTCTGACTTACTGTGCAATTTGCCCACAGCAAATCCGCAAGTTGAGACGAGAGTTGGAATCCTCGCAGGAGAAGGTCGCCAACTTGACCATGCAGCTTTCTGCCAATGTATGTATGATGTTTTATAAGATTCCCTTTTGGTCTTTTTGCATTAGCTAATTAGTTAATAACCTGAAAAGAAACTCACTGGGGTAGCTTTGGCCACCACTACTCACTTTTAGCTTTTTGTTTCTGCCAGTTTATTAACAAATCTCTCACTCCTGCTTCTTCTGTCTCACTGTGAAGCTTGTGATGCTTGAGCCTGGCAGTTTTAATGACAACAAAAATTTAACATGATCCAAAAGAGAATTAATATCAGTGGTAATTAGTAACTAACCTGGGTGTTTTGAATGTATTAAGTGACTATATAAAGCCCATCTGTGTGTGTGCGCACGTGCCTGGTATTAGACAAATTAATGTGGACTGAACCCTGTTTACACACTTGCATTGTGTGGACTCGGTTTTATCCCACCCCTAACACCGCTGTCCCTCTCTTTTACACTTTATGCTTTATTGCCTGCTGGACTTGCTGCCGCTCCCTGCCTGCCTCCCACTGACACGCACCTCTGGATGTTGGGTGCAGCAGCTAGGCCAGGTTTGTTGGACTGTTACTTCCAGAGCCCTCTGTCCCTTCTGCATGATTCTGAGTGGACGTCAAGGTGACGAGTCGCCGTCACACATCTCTGTTGGGCTTGCTGCATGACACAGTTGACACTCTATACCTATGTTGAAGCATGTTGACTAGGGCAACAACTAATATTTATCATTTATTAATCTGTCAACAATTTAAAAAGTGTTTTTTTTTTGTTTTTTTTTTGTCTCTACAATATCAGAATGCATTGAAAAGACGCAGTAGCACAATTTGCCCAGCAGTCCTAATAAAGAAAATAAATGATTGAACTATTATCAAAATAATTTTCTATTTACAGCACTATTATTAATGTTTTCTAAAGTTTCCTTAGATTTTAATAATGCTGTATACCACACATACTGTTCTTTGGAATGCAAGCAATAGACTTTAAAGAGAAAATGTGACCACGATAAAACCAAACTGAGATAAGGACTTTCAGGTGATGTAAGAGGGTCAGTATTCTAAATCAAATCAGGGTTTAAAACTTTCAAATAAGATATTTTTAAACATGACCCCAAAAATACCAGAGAGAGGTACAATCACATTTTACTCATTGATAAATCATTTTCAAGTGTGTATATATAAAATTAAGATTAGGTTTTGGTGTCTTGAAGTGTGTATGATGGTGTCGCATATGAATGTTTAAAACACTTTAATAAAAGTACATCACGGATCTCCATCAGCTGCAGCAATGATGTTGGATGTCTTAGCCTGAAAGTCAGACATGCTACATGAGGTTTGTCTCCCAACGCCACACGCCACTGCCCTCTCTCACCACGATTTTCCTAACATCCTCTTTCATCTCTGACATCATCCACAGCTGTCCGCTACTCCATCTCTTCCCTTTTCTCCCAGCAGATGGAAAAATCCCATTCGTCTGATGTGTTGTGAGAGTGTGAGACTGCAACCTGATTCTCTTCAGCCAGTGGCTCCTACCTGCTACTATCTCAACCCTCTAACTCTGTTTCTCTCTCTCTCTCTCTGTCTGTCTCCTGTCTCTTTCTACCGCTCTGTCTTACTCTTAAAGGCTAATCTGGTAGCAGCGTTTGAACAGAGTTTGGCGCTGATGACAGCACGCCTGCAAACCCTGTCGGTCTCCTCGGAGCAAAAGGTATCTCGGCTGATATGATGATGCTAATGAATCTTACACCACCTGTAACATTTGTGAGTTTTCATGTATTTATATGATAATAAAAGTGACACTCAAAGAAACATACCAAGTGAAAGGCAAAGTTGAATATAATTTTTAAAAAAGTAGTTTCCGTGATTCACTGTACAAATCAGCATCGTGGCCTCTTTCAACATGCACCGCCAGTCATGCAAGGTGACAAATGATGAATAAACTATTGGTCTGATTACTATTCAGCTGCTTTACTGTATTTTGGATCCAGAAAGAGAAGCTGCCAGGTGACGTGGTTGTCCCGGAAATGAGATGTGGGTTGAGGGTTTGCATGGCAGGATTTCCATGTTGTCATCAGTCACTCAGCACAACCTGTTATACTCTATACTGGTCTTACAAACATTCCACAGTCCTTAGTTCAGTTACCAGCCTGTACACTAACATGAACACATTGATGTTTCCTTCTTCAGGACTCTGAGCTCACTGACTTGAAAGATACCATCGAAATTCTGAAGGCCAAAAATACAGAGGCCCAGGAAATCATTCAGGGGGCACTCAGCAATCCGGACATCACACCTAAAGGTAGAGATCATGCTGGGGGTGTACAGCGTGGTTAGGAATCCCTGTACTGAACTTGCTTTCTTTTCTCCTGGTATTTAGAACTGCTGATCAATCGTCAGAACTCCTCAGAAAGCATCTCCAGCCTCACTAGCACCACCAGCCACTCAAGTATGGGTGGTCTCAAGGAGCAGGAGGCCAAGAAGAAAAAAAAAAAGAGCTGGGTGAGGAGTCACACTGACTCGAAGTACTGTGCCAAATGAGTGTCAGGGGTCCTAACATACTGTGTTGTGTGGTGAGGCCCACATAGACGCAGAAGGTTCAGATAATTACAGTATTTTGAATGTTTTTCACATTATTAGAGGAAGGGATTGATGCTAACTAACCAAAACTTGTCATGGTTTGGAATTGATCAGGTATCCCATCAGTTTCTTTGATCAAAAATAGTTCTTCTCTTGATTACCACTGGACTCTACTGTCAGTTTTCATTATTTTTTTTATTTTAACTGATTGTTCTCCTGCATGTCTGTGTGATTCTCCTCTTATCTTGTTCCAAATCTGTTGTTAAGTATGACTCTGGTCTCTCCTTCCTGCTGCCCTGCTTTGTATTTTAGGTCTTTGAGGTGAGTGATGTTGTTGTAGTAAATGATGCCAAAAGCCCTAAACCCCCTCCACTTCTCCAGCCTGCATGAGGCATACTTGTGAAGTGTTTGGAAAGTTTCTGTAATTTTTAAACCTGATTTACCAAATCACTTCCTGCCATGTTTGGAGAATAAATATGTGCTGTTTGTGTGCACTCATATAGTCTGCATGCTGTTCAGCTTTGCTGTAGCACATTGCACACGAGCAGTTCAATGAAGATTATTACCGTTGTCATTTCAGCTTCACATATTGTACAGATGGTTTTCAGAGACTGTATTTTGTAGTTTTCATTTCACTCCTCTCACATACTGTATGGAAGTTATGTGTATTATTAACATGTATTTTCTTTGCCTCAAAAAGGCGTGTATATATATATATCTAAGTGATTATGTAAAAGAACTGTCAAAAGAAATAGCCAAACACTGTACCAGCTGATTAATGTAATGAGTGTGGATGATAGCCCTAAGTATTGAAGGTTTATCTTCTAGTTGCTTGTTAATTGTTCTTTACTCAGCTTTAGTTTTAATACATATATATTGTTTCAGACTCGTGTGTCTTCTCTGAACAGTTACGCAGCTCCTTCAACAAGGCCTTTAGTAAGAAGGCCTCCAAGCCGTCAGGGCCGTATGCTGACATTGAGGAGATCTCCACCCCAGAGTCCTCGGTACCTTCCTCCCCCAAGGTCCATCATGATGGGGATAACACTTCATCATCAATAAAATCCTCAGCATCTGCATCATCATCTGGGTAAATATTTTGCTAAAATGAACTTTTAGAGTGATGTTACAGGCAGTTACCACAGCAAGCATTTGAAGTGCATTATAACAGACAAATAAACCAGGTATAAGTCAAAAGTAAATGTGATAATAGATCATTACAAACTCTACACTGCCTGTAAACATGTGCTACAGTATCTGTGCTTGTTAAAATAAGATAACAGTTCTTATATAGCTGTGCCTGTAATTGTTCCTAATTTAGCATTTGAAGATTAGGTTTCTTGCTGTCGGTCCGCAGGTCCTTGCTGCCTTCAGAGTTCCCTAATGTTGTCTTGTGTGAACTGATTATCTTTAGACTCTGTGAAGGAGGTGAGGTGGTGGATGAGAAGGTGGTGTCAGAGCTGCGTACGGAGCTCTGGGAGAAGGAGCGTAAATTGACGGACATCCGCCTGGAGGCGCTGAGCTCTGCCCATCAGCTGGAGCAGCTGCAGGACGCCATGAATAACATGCAGGTGTGTGTGTGACATTTTCTATTTGTTCGCTTTTCAGTAAAAATTGTTTTTCTATTTTCTGCAGTTCACTTGGGGACTTGGTAACAATGATTAGAATGCCAACCTTTTAATTTTCCTCACTGTATGTACTGTATGCAGATTTGGTTTTGTGATAATTAAATAGTCCAGTAAATATAATTTACAATATTAGACATCATCTTATTATCACAAAAACAATCCAGAGCAGCAGCATTGTGAAACTGGCACTGTAATTTATGTGCATTGCATTAACACTGTTGATTTGCTCTGTAGAGGACTGTGGAGAAACTTAAGACTGAGAATGACCAGCTGAAGACGGGTGGTTTGTCCCCCTGTCCATCTCCTGGACCCTCCAGCTCCGTCTCCCAGTCCTCAGGTCTCACTGCTTTAGGAAGCTCATCCCCTCGACAGTCGGTAGCCATGCACCTGCCCAAAAGCTACAGCAGAGGGCTGAATGAGGGTAGCAGCTCAGGTACAGTTCAATCCCAAAGATGTAGGGTAAGAATGGGTCTACCACTGTGGTAGAGGAGGAGGCATGAAGTGGTATGTGCAAAGACAGGGCAATAAAATCAGTTACTTGTAAGTAGTTATTGGAGTGCTATAAACGTACTAATGTTATCATTAATATAATACAGATCTCTTTCTGTTTGTCTAATCTTTTATGCACTTCTTGACAGATGTCCACTCAGCAGATTCTCTTAGCCTTTCTTCAAAAAGAGATGATCACCGTGTCAGGGTGGTGGTTTGTGTTACAGATTTACACGTCTTCAAAGATGTACGTCTTTGTTTGTTTGTTTTTTAGTCACTTATTTTACCTTCATTCTACCTTCTTCAGACCAGCGAACATAATCGTTAATTGTTTTCTTACCTATGAACTTCGCTTTATTTTGACAGGAGGTGAAACAGCAGGATTTCTTTGTAGGCACTCTGAGGGTGAACGGCAGGATGGACTGGACCATGCTAGACTCAGCGGTCAGCCAGGCCTTTAAGGTCAGATGCATTCTTGGTACAGTATAACCCAGGGATTTTCAGTTAAAATTCCAGGAGGTCCAGTCAGTTAACATTGTGCCAAGCCATTTTTTCCTGAGTTATGCAGACACAAGTCTTGATGAAATACTGTTTACTAAAAAGTCTAAACTCTTCAGTTCCTTACAAGTCAGACTCTTCCCTTTTAGCGACGCATCTCAAACAGGCCTATATATGAAGCTCTCTCTTTTTGTAAAATTGAGATTAAACTGATACTTTGAGTCTTTTAGTTGTTCCAAAGTGCAGGGCAAAAGACCTTTGAGGTATTTTTGGTTTTCATGCTCCAAACTGTAAGAACAGTCAGCGAATCTGAGCGGGGCTGGAGTCCGCCATTTAAGGACCCCTGGTATAACCTGTTCACGAACTGAATGTGCCATTCAGATATACAGTATTCACTTTTGTGATTCGGCTATTACAGTTAAATTTAGCATGTTGATACTCGTCACCGACTGCACACTGGTGGAAGCTCAGATCCAGAACTAGCATATACTGTACACTCAACGTGAACTTCTGGGGTTATTAACATAGTTGAAAAACAGTTTGGAAGATCATTTAGCCAGGATGTTAGGTCTTGTATGGTTCATATTAACTTTCACCTTTGTCACAGGTATTGAAGCCACGTCTGAAACATCACAGGCAGTTGTTAGTGCTTTGTCTCATATAGTGTGTCTATATTTCATTCTTGTAAAATAATTTTGTCTGCAAAGAACAAATTCTGTTTAGACAGTTTTACTCAGTTGTCTCCCTCTGTCCTTTTCTTTCCAGGTGTACATAGCCAAAGTGGACCCCACTTCCAGCTTAGGCCTTTCTACTGACTCTATCTACAGTTACAGTATGAGCCACATTAAGAGAGTGCTGGGAGGAGAAGCTCCTGAGACGCAGCCCTCTTGCTGCATGTCCCGAGGCCCCAGCGGCATCACTGTGGCACTGAAAGGTCTGTGGAGAAATGGAACACGAAATCATACTGGATTTAAGACTAAAGATTTACAGTGTACAGTGGTTATTTGAGGATTTAAACACTCTGAGTGTAATTCATCATGTCTGTGTGATTATCAGCTATTTGAGGATTTAAACACTCTAAGCATAATTCATCATGTCTGTGTGATTATCAGAGCGATTTGAACGTTTGTTTTCATCGCTCTTCTTTATGTTCAAGGACTATTTAATTAGATTGAGATCTGAGCTGTTCTCATCCTTGAACAAAACATAAATTCAAATTATCCCTGGCTGCCGATGAACTTGTTACTTCAACACATTAAAGTTGGTTTTGCTGGAAACAGCCTTGTTTTGGTTAAGTTATGCACTCAGTTGTAATATTATCGTTATAAATACAGATGCATTTGAATTACATGCAGTAACTTTCAGTAACAGCAGTGTTTTGGTTTGTGAGAACTGCGTGTACAGAGCCCATCAGTGATTCTAAACTAGAACTGTGATTAGTGAGGAGAGCTGAGGTCCGTCCCCCATTTGACCTCTTTACACCTTTGCATGCAGGAATGTATGGAGCAAAGTGCTAGGAGAGCTGAGAAAGCAGCAGCATCAGCCCAGTCTGGGCTCAGGGTAACATGATCTCTGTGCAGCCTGGCCCAGCTTGTTGACCATCCTCAGACACATGGGCCCCTGAGATGTTAGGGCAGAACATAACACTTCTACAAGCCGGGAGGGGGGTGGGTGGACAGACTTACTACACTAAATTTCTTTTACCGATTAAAACACTTGAGCTACATGTTGCTTATGGAGCATGTGCGAAGTGATATGAATCAATTTCATAACATGTTCTTAACCAAGCTACTGCTGTTTGTACTGTGTATTGTTAAATATCATATGTTAAACTGCACTTTTATCATCAATCCTAATTTGTACTGGGTAATTAGCAGATCGTCATCCACCTCATCATTTATTACAACACGGTTCATTATCATTTGTCCATCTCTATGTCCAGGTTTGAAGGAGAAGTGTGTGGACAGCCTGGTATTTGAAACACTCATTCCCAAACCTATGATGCAACACTACATCAGTCTGCTTCTCAAGCACCGCCGTCTCATCCTATCTGGGCCGAGCGGGACAGGGAAGACCTACCTCGCCTCCCGGCTGGCCGAGTACCTGGTGGACCGCAGCGCCCGTGAAGTCACAGACGGCATCGTGGCCACTTTCAACATGCACCGCCAATCATGCAAGGTGACAAACTATTATCCTGCAAGATTTCATACAACAGGGAATCATCTTCTATCACTGTGTTTCACTTGCTCTCCCTCTCCTCAGGATCTGCAGCTTTATCTTTCCAATTTGGCCAATCAGGTTGATAGGGAAACCAGCGCTTCAGCAATACCGCTGGTAGTTATTCTGGATGATATTAATGATCCTGCTTCCATCAGTGAACTCGTCAATGGTGCTCTCACCTGCAAATATCACAAATGGTAAGCTCCAAATACACAAACTAAAAATGGCTGAAAAAAATTCTGAAAGTGTTTAGTGTAATCTAAACTGAGTAATATTCTGCCTTTAGCCCTTACATTATTGGAACAAGCAACCAGCCAGTGAAGATGACGGCAAACCACGGTCTGCATCTCAGCTTCAGGTTGGTTGAAGAAACAGCAGAAACAACAACAGAATTTTCTTCTCCCATATCAAATCAAATCAAAATTTATTCATATAGCACTTTGATTTGATTTGATTTATTCTTTCAAGCATGTAACTTTATAAACTTTATAAACAACATCCAGCTGACCAAAGTACTTTACATGGTGGAATAAAATCAGTGCAATAAATATATTCAGTGCAATAAAAATAAAACGGCTCAATCATTCTAAGATAGTCTTACGTGTCATGGGTCTGTGGAGGATTTCCTCCTGATTACTCTAAGATTAGATTTGAAGCTCACTGTGGAATCATCCAGTACAATAAAAGTATCTGTAAGCAGGCCAGTTGTGTGTGAGTAGTGTTAGCTAATGTATTTATGTAAGATCTGAAAGTTTGATTTAATAAAGTTAGATTTTAGTCAGTGCCAATAATGCGTTCACATTGTTATGGCTGAGATGTGGTGAATGAAAACATCTAATAGCTTAAATATACAATAACTTATGTTTCTGACCATCTCTAAGTAATAACTTTACATAGAAGTTTTACTATTTTCCAACTTGACTATTTAAAAAGAGACTATTTTACCTCCATTTGGAAAGAGAAATCTTTTGTCTCCCTAACAAAACAGGAAACCCATTTTCAAAATGGTCCATGATTAACGTGTCCCTACAAAATAAGTGCTTATAATAGCAGTATTTTTTTTTATCAAACAGGTTTTTATTACTTCACTAGATAGATATGACTTTATTAACTCCCAAATGGAAGTTTGTTATAGCAGCCATTACATCTATACAGTGTCATAATAAAACTAAACTAAAAAAACAATTTAAATAGGTTAGTAAATAGAAGTTCCCTCATTCCCAGTGCATTTCTCGAAGTTAATTTAGGAGATTACAACAACTTTTTTATAGGAGTAGAGTCTGATTGTACCTTGTTGGAAAGACCTCTTGTAACACTCCTTCGTATGCCTCATTCTGCTGCTGAATAATCTCCAGTGGTTGGTTAACACACTGTACAGGGCGTGGGAGGGCTGGGAGGGGGTTTACAGATTCACCTGCAGTTTTTTCAGCATTTTGTCCTCTACCACCTCCCCCGCTGTGACCATCTTATTTTCAGTGATGGATTCTGCATTTGACTTTAAGCTTAAGCTGTGGTGTTGATAAGCGGGGATAACATCGCAGCTAATCCAGTGTGTGACCAAGAAACTAGTCCACTGATGTACGCAGCTATTGTTCTGACTTTTTCTTTGCGTGTTTCATCATTTTAGGATGGTGACCTTCTCAAACAATGTGGAACCAGCCAATGGCTTCCTTGTGCGATATTTGCACAGGCCAATGAGGACCTGATGAGGGTGCTAGACTGGGTGCCCAAACTGTGGTACCATCTGCACACCTTCCTGGAGAAGCACAGCACATCTGACTTCCTCATTGGTATGAACACTTTTATCTCGACTCTTTGGCTGATGCGCTATACTGTAAATCAAATAAATAAAGCTGAAGTCGAAGTCATGAGGGCACAGCAAGACCTTTTTTAGCACTGGCAAAAAAAAATTGTACAGTTTTTAAAATAAATACTGATAGCTTTGTTTGTCTGAATGTTGTTGTACATGTCTTAACTGTTCTTCATTCTCTTCCTGTTGTGTACGCAGGCCCTTGCTTTTTCCTGTCCTGTCCAGTCACAGTAGATGAGTTTCGATCATGGTTCATTGACCTTTGGAACCACTCTATTATTCCATACTTGCAAGAGGGGGCCAAGGATGGCGTGAAGGTAAGAAATTACAGGCAGTATATCCAACAAATTGTCTCCATCAGGCATTACATAAGTACTCAGGAAGTGCTGTTGGCTTCCCTTTCAAAGGTAATATCGCACTCTAATTTAACTGTGCCGATATGTTGGGACTATTCAGGTCCACGGCCAGAAGGCGGTATGGGAGGACCCAGTGGAGTGGGTGAGAGACACGTTGCCTTGGCCATCTGCCCAGCAGGACCAGGCAAAGCTGTTCCACCTACCTCCCCCCAGCATCGGCTCCAGCAGCCCCGGTCAGCCCTGTGAGCAGAGGCCTGACAAGGAGACCCCACCCAGCTCTATGGAATCTGATCCTCTGGTAAGCGAGAGCATGATCCTTTCTCATAGAATGAGGTCAGAATTATCAGTGTTGTCTAAGCCTTAAAGTTAATAATAACTTGGATTTCTCAACTCTCTCTTTGTTATAGATGGCAATGCTTTTGAAACTTCAAGAAGCTGCCAATTACATTGAATCCCCAGACAAAGAAGATCCTAGCCTGCCTAAACTTTGAACACAAAGCTTACACTTTAACACTTAGCACTTAGATTTTTTTTTTCTTCATTCACTGTACTGACACAGTGCACATTCAGGAGCAAGTGAACTCACAGAAACGCTTGTCATTCCAGAGGAAAGAGGCTGAAAGTGTAACCAGTTAAATCCAAATCATTTTAACATGTACAGTATTTTCAAAACACTGTTCAAAAGTATTGAATGAAATGTTCTGTTAAGTATGGCCTATACAGTATGTGACTGGATGACATTCACTCCAGCTCACATCCCTTTACCACCACTGTAGCCCTCCGTACTCCTAGACTGGTGCTAATCGATCACACTGTCTCAGCACTTAGACTTCAGGTGATTTCTTAAACGGCACACATAGCCTGTCCTGTGTTGTGCTGAAGTGCATCATGGGATATGGAGTGATTGTCATCAGGAGCTAATCTCAGTTTATGGTGACTCCTTTTGGAAAAGAGTATGACAGCATGACAGATGCTACTGTTTATTGCAAAGTTCTTTGGTACATATCTACTGTATAAGTCTTTGAAGGCTAACTCTTATACATATGCAATCCTGAATTTTACAACCCAAGCAGGTAAAACAAATAAAATGCCTTAAGTACAAAGACATCAATGTCACCTCAGCTTCAGCAGAAAATACTGGTGCTTTCATCAATACCATCCCAGTAGAGACAGTCAGAAAACAGCTATTTCTTCAATGGTTTACTTTATTCATTTCAATTCATAATCTTACACTTGCTGTCATACTCTTTTACATACAACACGTATTTATTAGTGATGTCAGTTCATCACTTCGTCATACACTTTTTTTCCAAGCAGTTAATTTCCGTTTATTAACTGCTTTATGTAAAGCTGTCGTCACCCGTCAGTATATATCAGGTATTACAGACTTATTACACAGGGATAATATAGCAAACACCCTCTGAAGAATTTAAATCAAAAACTATTTGAATCCAGTTTGGGTTTATTTGTCTTTACCGTTTATCCAGGAACGAGTACATTAGTTTAAAATCTTTCCCCCTGTATTCAGAGTAGTTACAGTAATGTGTATATAATGTGCATACAGCCAGGCTACATCACATTTATTTTATCTACATTAGGTGGTGCAAATATCTACCATTCTGAACCAAATACTGTACTTCAATCATGCATATTGACTGTCAAGTTAGAGGTTTAAGTTCAACTATGAATGTACAGAAAACACTTTTAAAACGGTTAGAGAATAGTTTCTATCATCTATTAGGTGCTTTTAAAAGAAGCCTTATCTCAAAGCTCCACTGCAAAATGTTTTTAGCAATGGCTGAGTAAAGTGACTTGACAGCTGCCTACACCCAGTTCATTTGCGACAGTTCATGCACTTCACAACCATTAACACTCTCCTGTTCATCATGCTTATTACCATCATTTAGGTGCTTTTAAACAAACTTAGTTTTGATCAAAGGTCATGCAGAGTTTCAGGGTAGATTAGCAATGGATTCTGTGTCATTTCTGTCAAATGCTGAAGAAATAGAAGATCTTAGAATTCTTTTTTTTTTAGGATGTTGTTGACAGTGTAAAAGACATTATGTAGAGACAGTGAGGTCATGTCAGACATTGGATGGTGTGTGCTCATGTTTTGTAAATGAATGTCCGACCAGCTGGGTGACAGCTTGATATGAAAGTTGAACAGTTTAAATTGTCTGAGCTGCTTATTGCTTCATTATTGCACTGTTTAAGGCTGATAGCAAAACTTTAAGACACTCCGCAGCTCTGGTTGGTTACATGTAAACTAAAAAAATGAATGAATTAAAAACATTACAGAGGAAAAGATGCCAAGTGCTCAGTGAGTCTACCCCTGACCACATGCCAACTGAGAATAATTTATTGTAAATAATTCAGGTGCTTGACAGTATTCTCCCACCCTGATCTGTTTTTGTAGGTTAACAAAAACCATCAGCTCGAGTTTCTCTTCTCATTCACTGCTTATTGTGCCTGTTGCTGTGTAGTAGCTGTGATTTATGTTTGCTTACTAGTGTATGGGGACTATGCAGCAACTTCTACTGGTGCTGGCAGTCAGAAAATGTCTGAACTTCAGGAGTATACGTAGTATGTTTTCATCCGGTCTGTCTTTGAGTTCTTAATTTGGACCAAAATTCACCACAGGATCAAAGTGGAAGCTTGTATGAGCAGGTGACACTGAGCCTTAAAGTGAGGAGGGTTTGTTTGGTGTTGCATTCAGAAACAGGGTTCACAGATGTAGTTAAAGAAATTCAGCTGTTTGGAAGCTTTGTCTTTAAGTCTGTATGAATGGCAATAAACGTTATGTAACTGGATAATGGTCAAATGACAAAAAAAAAAAGAAGATTGGGTGGGTGATTTAAAAAAAATAATCTAAGTAGCCTGAAATAGTTGGCAAGGATCAGCACTTCAGAGTTAGCATATTTGATTTTCAGTTGAGTTAAACCAGACAAAGAAAGAAATTTAACATCTTAGGCCAATACAGGTTGCTGAATAGTCATATTTTTGCAAATCTTATTGTGGACTAAAGATTTCAGAAGCGTTATGCGGTATTTAATGTCAATGACGTGCAAATGTTAAGGGTTTCTAAGTGTTGTAAATGCATGTAAACTTGCTGTGTGATGAGGAAAATGTTAATGTGTTTATGAAAATCATTCTAGATAATGTTTTCCTTTTTAATACTCTATTTGATATTTCTTTTTTTTCTAAAGAATCCTTTGTAAAACTTAATTTCTCTATTTTGTACAGGACGTCATTGTAAAGACTGTAAATACAGTAAGTCGCCATTCTGCGGCAACAATCACTGAGGAGGAGCTAGAGAAAGGTATATTTCTTCAGTTGGGTCAAATACATGGATAAGGCATGTCTCTGAAGGCTTTCATCCACCTATCACTGTTTGTTGGAATCAATAAAATACATGTTCTATTTAGTCTGTGGCTTCTTGTGTGACAGTTTGCCAGTGTTGACACAAACTACAGCATTAAACAATCATTTACTGTCTGTTGTAATGTTGGAACAGTAACAAGGTTAAATTTGTTAAGTCATTTTTGGGTAAACAAATTAAAGGCGTGGTTTGTATTTTATCATCTTTATTTAATCAGGCCATAGTTTATGTAATAAAGTTGAATGATGTATTGTGAGTGTTAATGAGTGGGGCAAACAGACATGGTGGTTGGAGTCGAACATTCACGGCGTCCAGTATCTATTACATGTCATTCACTGAGGGGCAGGGCCTCAACCTGCTGAGCTCTATATAAGCCTGCTGCACCCACAGGAATGATGGCACTGGGTAGAGTTTAAAGGACTGTTGGGAATTATCTGCAGCTTCAGCATGCCGTCCAAGCCTGCCCCAATCAAGAAGGCGGCAAAGAAAGAACCAGCCAAGACGGAGGAGAAGGCTCCAGACCCGGCTCCACAACCTGCACCGGAGGCCGCTCCTACCGAAGCCGCCCCACCTCAAACCACCCCAGCGCCAGCTGAGAAGCCCAAACCTCCAACCCCTCCACCTGCAGACGGTAATGCCCCGAGCGCGGCGGCTTGTGAGACATGCGTGTGTAGTCCAGCTTTATTTTATTTGACGGTGGAACTTTGGATACACTGTTTGATCTTTTGACTCCAAATAATTGGTTCAGCTCATGGTAACCAGGTGGCGACCTTTACGCATATACGTTTGTGCGCGCTCCGTGGGTACAGAGCTGTAGCTGTCCACATGAAACGGAAGTAGCATGATTATTACTTTAACAGCCTCAATCGACTCTCTCAGAACCAGACTACCTTATTCATGAAAGTAATTTAAAATCTTATGCGTGCTTTTTGTGCGTTTTGCGCTTCATCGACGCATTTCTTTGTTTTAATAAAACTTTGTGATTCTGACCTGTAAAGCCGTTTCTCAAAACAGAGATGATTATCACCTTCATGGAGAGGCTTTATTGCGGGTCTTGGTCTGGGACTTGGACTGTATTCGTTTTAACCTAGTGTACCCAGTAAAGTGCCAACTGTGTCCATCAGCTGCTCCCACTGATTTAACTGTTGTTGGACACAGATGGTATCATATCCACAGAGTAGCTCTGTGTTTTACCACCTAACTCACACATTTCTGTTTAACCTTTTCTTTTTAATGCACTAAATTTGAATATTTTAAAAGTTGTATGTATCTGCTGATATCCTCAAATCTCTAATATCAGCTGCTCCATCTGCTGCTGGAAAAAAAATCACCAGCTGCTGCTGCTGCTACTGTGGGGGGGGACTGCTGTCGGTTTAAAAAAAAAAGACTAGGATATCAGACATCATATAAAACTATTATTAAACCTTGAACAGCCCACCTCCTGCTGGACAGCAAACCACACTAACATCTTCTAACCTTTCATATCCGCTGCTGCTCCTGCTGTGGAGGAATCTCCAGCTGCTCCTGCTGCTGCCTCTGAGGCACCTGCTGATGGTAAACCAAGTGAATTAGATTTGATCCTCTAGCATCCCTCTGCTCACTGTCAATAATAATGCAAATGCCTATTTAACATAAGCCAAAGCTGGTGAGGTGCCCACACTAGAAGAACCTAAACTGCCCACCCTTCCACCACCTCCACCCAGATGTAACCCTTTATTTAAAAAAAAGGGAACCACAGCCCAGAAAGATTTGATTCGCTCTTGTTATTTTTTTTATTACTGGTACCAGGGTAAAGAATTGCGACCTCAGCTCACTTGAACTCCAAATTTGAATTGATATATGATTTGCATTTTTGGTGTATTTCTGTTTTTATGACATCTGCAGAGCCCACAAGTGCTCCTGTGGATCTGTTTGTTGAGGACAAGAATGACACTTCGGTTACTATCATTTGGAGCCAGCCAGAGAACATTGGACCCACTGGTCTGGATGGATATGTCATTGAAGTCTGCAAGGATGGAAGTAAGTTCTGTTCTGCAACCATGTACTAACATGTGCACGAAAAAGATCAGATAGTGGTACACACTGCAACAGCTTTGTCAACTGACCTTTGAGTTGTTTATAAAGCTTTTATTTCAGCAGCGCTGACCTTTGAATTGTTTATAAAGCTTTTATTTCAGCAGCTCAGTTTTTACATTAACTATCATATCTCCAGTTGCTACAGTGTTGAAGTGCATTTTAAATACACTCAGCATCATGAAAAATTGCTGTTACCATGTGGCTCAGCCATACCAGCTGCAGCTGTCCCATACTGTATGTGTCATTCACAGAGTTATAAGATGAGTTACCTAACCTCTCCGTACAAGGAAAGAGGCATTTCAGGAGCTGTGGTCTTGTTGGAGGGCCTGCTTTTAGACTTGCAGCACTAAGCTCCATGTAGACTTGCTTTAGCAGGTGCTGTTTACTCACAGAACAGCAATTTCATGTCTAATTCAAAAAAATGTGTACAAAGCAGCACAGCAAGCCGACCGTAATGTCTTAGTTATTGAATTTTCTTTATTTTATCATCTGTATGAATCTGAATGTTGATCTTGTTCTGCCTGCAGTTTACACATTCTGCAGTTTTTATCCTTTAATGATGAGACAAGCAAGAGCTTTGTAAGCTCTGTCACTATCTTCATTATGTTTAATTTCCCCATCCAGCTGCGGATTGGAAAGCAGTCAATGAGGGTCTGCAGAAGTCCTGCCGCTACATTATCAAAGACCAGACCACTGGTGACCGTTTGAAGATCCGCGTGGTGGCTGTGAACGCTGGTGGCTGCAGCCCCCCTGTCACTCTCCAGGATGCTGTCCTGGTGGAGGAGATTGCTGGTAAGAAAGAAGCATTGGGGGGGGGGGGTGGTGCAGCTGTTTGGCCCTTAGAGGGAAGGGCCACTGCAAATCAAAACAGAGTTGTTCAGAGTTATCACCTTTATCCCATGATGAAACATATCTATCCATGAGAGTGGACCCATGACCAAAAAATAAGGCACAAATGGGTCAAATTTTTATGGCATCTAATATGAATTGGAAAGGTTCAGGAAGGCAGCGCAGGGGTGCAGTGCTTAGCACTGTTGCCTTACAGCAAGAGGGTTCTGGGTTCAAACCTGCCGGCCAACCAGGTCCTGCCAATGTGGAGCACGCTCTCCTCCAGGTACTTCGGCTTCCTCCCACAGCAAAAGACATGCAGCTTAGGTTGATTGGTGACTCTAAATTGCCTGAGTGTGAATGTGTGTGGTTGTTGGTCTACATGTCAGCCCTTTGATAGACTGACGACCTGTCCAGGATGTACCCCGCCTCTCTCCCTTTCTATAGAGAGCTATAAACACTATAGATGATGGATGGATGGAGTTTTCATTGTTAACTTTAAATGGCCATAAGAACCAGATGAAATCAGGTCTGGTGATACATTGCCACCCTACATATGTATGTATGTGTTCAATTTCAAATGATTTTGATAACTTTTGATAGCAATAGGAATTTTTAAATTTTTTTGTGACCTTGACCTTTGACCCTTTTCACCCCAAATCTAGTCATTTCTAGGGTTGCCCCCCCAATGTCTGTACCAAGTATGCTGATGATCCATCTAATAATCCTGGTAACCAACAAACAATCAAACACACACAGAGAGAGAACCAAAAACATAACCTTTATTTACAATACTGATCCACCTGACCACGGTGTGATCATTGCAGACTTGTTAGACTTGTTAGTTTACTTATCCTGTAGATCTTGTGTTAGACAGTATATCTAAAGTGATTTTCAGTAACATAAATATTGGACCAGTGAGGGCATTAAAAAGAGGCTCAGCGTTGCCTTGGCTCGCTCACAAATCGTTACGCGTTATGGTGAGTTCCACAGGGAACTTAATCCCAGATGGACTGGCAGTATTTCAATAGTCATGCTACGTTCACCGTCATAGCAGGTGGTCCACTTACGAATGGTCTTTGACAGAATGACCACAAAGCTGTGGAAAAATAGCTGGGATGTCCCTGCTGTTAACACAGACTTTTCTGTGGAGCATTTGGGATGGCACTGTGATCCCCTGCCACGATTCATGCTCAGAGGAATGGCAGGCTCCTTTCAACAAGATTGATGATGACAAGTGATCTGACTGCAAGCAGTGGGGGTTATGGAGAGGCGAGGCGGTGGATGGCAAATTCCAGTGGGTCATTTCGCTATGTATAGAACGAGTCGGGCATGTGTCTAGCTTCTCAGGTGGCTCTTGAAACTCCTGACACTTTCTGAGATTTGCTGTTTATTTTGAAACATGCCATGCACTTTACAGGTGCAATGTTCATTAAGCCCTATGAAGTGACAAGACACTTAATATGTAGTACATTTATTTTAATGGACAGGCTCACTGGACCTCATCTCATTTTCGTAGCCAGTGTCTGAGTCCTGCTTAATTTTTTTTTGAGATTTCAATGGAATCTGATGTGTGTGTAGGTGAGTGAGGCTCTGAATCATGCGTCATGAGGAGAGGTGATATACTCCAGCACGCCTGCTTTTTATAGAGACCGGACAAATGTTGCTCTGCCAGACACAGCAGGTGGTGCCTCTCACCAAACACTCTTATAAATGAGCTTCCGCAGGATATTTCTGAGGCTTAAGCAGAATTTGAAACGCCACGATGGCTGACTATATTTATGATTTGGTTTTGTTTTCTTTAATTTAGGGGCCATTTTTGGCTTTTTACAAGCTAAAAGGAGCTTTGTGGGTAGGGAGTGTGTGAAATGCAACAAGGACCAATTCAATTCAATTTCATTTGTATAGCACCAAAGGTCGTCTCAGGAGGTCTAAGGTCTTGACCTTACTATTACTAATATTTTAGGGAAAATATAATACACTGACAAAAAGATGCATGTAGCTACACAATCATATAATAATCTTAATACACATGTGCATCCTGCTTTCTATAGATTGCTCTTATGTACTACTACTACTCCATTTTATTTATTATCATTATAATCTGTAGTCTTAGTCATCCTATTTGTTGTCGTTGTTGCTTTGTTACACCCCTTGTCATTAAAGACAAGTAAGATAAAGTGAGTTGAAAGGCATGCAACACAAAGTAGATAGATATGTAGCAGAGGGGATAGTGGGACTTAGACTCATGGTTTCTTTTACAACCAGTTAAAGCCCAGAAATGCCCTGATGGTACCAGTGACAATTCTCTGTCTCAGAGGATCAGCTCATCATGCTCAGTGATTTCCTCAAGAATTATTAGCCACAAAACAACCTGAAATCCGTTTAACAGGTCCCAGAAGTCACATTCAGCCTGTTTATGTTCGGTACTGATGAGCTGTAAAGCTGGCTAATTACAGAACTTGAAAAGGGCTCTCACTAAATCATGTATAAATGCAAATGAATGAAAATAACGATCATTTCTTTCTTTGTGTTTCCCTCTAGACCGCCCCAAGATTCGCCTGCCTCGTTTCCTGAGACAAAGACATGTTGCTCGTGTTGGAGACAAGATCAATCTGACCATCCCCTTCACAGTAAGCTGAAGATGACTGTATGTATCTGTTCATGCATGGCTGACAAGTAGAACTACATAACCCCTGAAAACTCTTCTTTTTTTTTTTTTGACCAGGGTAAACCCAAACCTGTGGTCACATGGACAAAGAATGGACAGCCTGTGGACACAAAGAGGGTGAACACCCGCAACACTGACAGAGACAGCATCCTGTTTATCCGTGCAGCCGAGAGAGAAGACTCCGGAGTGTATGAGATGTGTGTGAAGGTGGAGGACTCCGAGGACAAGGCTTCAATTACCCTTCAAATTGTTGGTAAGCAAAATGTTGATATTGCATCAAAAAGAATAAATGTGCTCGGTGTTTAAGATGTAGTCGAAGATGATTTCCTTTCACTCTGATATGGTTCTAAAACCTGTTGATGTGCTGCTTGTCATCTGATCATTGTCTGTCTGTTCACAGAGCTGCCAGGGCCTCCTGCCAGTGTAAAGATTGTGGATAACTGGGGCTTCAATGTCGCTCTGGAGTGGGCTCCCCCCACTGACAACGGAAACACAGAAATCACAGGTTACACAGTCCAGAAGGCTGACAAAAAGACTGGAGTAAGTAGCTGTTAGTGCAATGTTTCACTATCCAAGTTGGCTGACTGGACCGTTGTAGTAAATTACTTATGATAACTATTAATAGTAGGATCCCACCAATAAATTCTGTTAACTAAATCTATCAGCAGCTGCTCGGCTAAGCCATCCTTCACTGTGTGTCTGCAGGAGTGGTTCAACGTGTTGGAGCATTACCACAGACTGAATGCCACCGTCTCTGACCTCATCATGGGAAACTCCTACAAGTTCAGAGTGTTTTCTGAAAACAAGGTCGGAAAGAGCGAGAGCGCTGCTGTTACAAAGCAGGAGGCCAAGATTCTGAAGACAGGTACTGTATCGCTCCACTGATATTTTCCTCCACTATTGTAAAAACAGACAACTGGAGTCATTCATTCATTTTCAGTCTGTGGAAGTCTAGCTTTAATTTTACCTGCTTCATCTGAAGCTCTCATCTCTCTGATCCTTCCTTGATTGTCTAGTTTTATTTTTATCAGTTTCATTACTATTGCTGTTCTCAGCTAGTAGATGTTCCTTCATCTAAATAGATACAAACTGTTTTGTTACAGATATTAATGTGAGAAATTGTAAACAACCTTTTATCCAGTAAAGACACCTGGTCTTTACTGACTAGGTGTATTACTACATACAGTTTTGCAAGGTTGCCATCATCCAACCAAACTATTTGACTGAGCGTTTACAAATGTTTTTCTAAATCACTGCAGTGCCTGAGAAATGTTAGAAACATTTCAGAAGAATCGCTCATCGAGTATCAAAATGTGATTCAGTCAAATTTAGGGCTGAAACTACATAAACAGCTGACAGCCTTACACAAGCTGTAGACTCTACCAGCAGCTGTATAGTTAACTGCTTTTTCTTCTTGCCTCCAGGTATTAACTACAAGCCTTCTGATTATAAGGAGCACAGTTTCAGTGAGGCGCCCAAGTTCACCACCTCTCTGAATGACAGAGCCACTACTGCCGGCTACAGCACCAAGCTCCTTTGCTCTGTCAGAGGATTCCCAAAAGTACAGTAGCAAGATTTTCCTTTTTTCCATGTTTGACCATGTAATGTCACATGACCAAAATATGAACCATTAGCACAACTACACTGTGTTGGTTTAAGGATCACACTGACACTTAACTGCCAACGCTGCTACGTCACATTGTTATAACTTAATATGCAACATTTAAGACATTCACTGAGTTTTCACCACATATCTGCTTGCATGTAGTTTATGTTCCAACTTTCACCAAACACACCACCAGAGCTGAGTGGTCAAAACTTGATTACAGCTGACAGAACAGTCCCGTCTAAAATATGAATGCTCAATTTACCTGTTCAATATAATGATTTATTTCAGGTATTTCAGTGTTTGCTGGATTAGACCGTAATAATGGTGCCAACTCCTTGAGGTATGTGTGTAAAAAAGCTCATGGTAATCATCATGTAATGTGTTTTTCTACAGCCCACGATTCAGTGGATGAAGAACCAGATGATTATCGGAGACAACCCCAAGTATAGGCAGATCTGCGTCCAGGGTATCTGCTCTCTGGAGATCCGTAAGCCCGGTAACTTTGACGGAGGTGTGTACTCGTGCAGAGCCCTCAACGATCTCGGAGAGGCAACTGTCAGCTGCAAGCTGGAGGTCAAACGTAAGTCAGGATTGTTATAAATAACTTTGTTTTGCTTTGCCAATATTATAGCTTCACCTTCTGAAAGTTAATAATGTGCCTTTCTTTTAAACAGAACCAGCAATTCCAGATGCAGACAAGAAATAGGGCAACATTCTCATATTCACAGGTCAGAAGTGATTTTGAGTTTATCTGACTGTTATTATCTCTGTGTGCTTGCTGAATATACCGACTTTAAGTCAGACAAATATCAAAGTGCCCAACACCTTTATAAAACATACTGTATGTTGTAATATAGTTATTATTTTTGCAGTAAGTCTTTACTTGTAGATCAGTTCCACAGCATTGACATGTGTTACAGTCTGGAGGTCACATTTGTCATTGACTTACCTCCCATACATGGAGAGCACTAAACTTGGAAAAGGTGGTCTCCTCCACTGAAAGAGTCCAGAAGGGCTCCTCATGTGCTCAATTAGGAGCCTTAATCAGATTTCCTTGACTCAGCAACAGCAGCCTCCTTTAGGATGCAGATACACCATTTTATTTGCAGGTCACTCTCCGGACACTAAAACAGTTTAGCATTTTGGAGCTTTAATCTAAATAATGTTGTAGACTTCTATAAAACAATATTAATATATATACATTATATGTGTGTGTGTGTGTGTGTGTAAAAATATTTTGAAAAAAGTCTGTTTGCTTAGTTTTCTTCTTTTCTCTTATGTGATTCTGAATTGCTGTTGTTTCTGCATTTCTGACTTCTTTAACATCTGTTCTTACGTATTTATCAAATTAGGAGTGGAGGGAGACCTTGGCCATCTGTCACAATCCCAAATTAGGAGTGGAGGGAGACCTTGGCAGCATAAGGTCCGTGACCATTTTAGCATTTGTAAAAGTGTCCTCCACAATAATTGAATAAAGTTTGTTTTATTGGAACTATTTCCTTATCTCCACAGAAAGGTGCTGGATTCCTGTACGAACATGTATATATGGCTGATGACCACACTATCAGAGGGATGTTACCTATGACTGCCTGCCAAGTGTTATGCTGAACAATGTTGGTGCTTTATGCCTTTCTGTAACATTAGTGTAAGTCCATGTCCACAGTCAGCTTGTTCCCCAAGAATACAGTTTGTTTTTCTGTAAACTGATAAATGAAGTAGTGTAAAGACTATGTTGTGCAAACCTCAATCTATATTGTACCAAATAGTATTCTAGTGTCCATAGTTCTAGTGAAAAATGAATAAAATGCAGTAAAACAGGGACAATTAAATGTGAGACTAAGCTGCCAAGCATGCGCCTTAAGTTAATGCAGATTTTGCCTTGTATTTTGGTTCCGACTCATTTTCATGTACATATCTGAACTACTGAGCATCTGGAAGTTAAAGAAACTGGTAACACTTTAGTTTATGGGTCTGTCATTTCAGAAATGTTTTTCTACAAGGAACTGTGTAACATAGTACTAATCTTAGGGAAAACTTAATTAATTCCAGTTAATTGCATGATGAAACTTTGGTCAGTATAGAGCAGGTCATCTGAAAATGCAAGAGAGTGAACGTGTCTGCAGACAACATGTACAGTACAAAGAATAAAGCTTCAGATATTGAGTGAATGACTAAAGAATAATTACTTGGTTTTAAACTAAGCTGTTCTTTTAAGGAAATTACAAATTTCTTTACAATTTGTACCAAATGTCAAAGATGTTTCCATATAAAAGGTTGCCCAGAGGTTTTAGAAAATATATCATAAAGCACTATTCCACATCCTCCTGGTTCTATAGATTATTTTAATTACTTCTTGCTACAGTTTCACTCAGCTGCAAGTGTATAAAGCCCTTTTGGCAGCAGACCAGTGAGAATCTGGACACAGCAGCACTCCCCATTTGGCTCATTTCTTGGACCTGTCACAGTATGCCAGGACTTCCATAATTATAATACCAGTCTATAATTCTGATCTTGTAACTATTTGGTCTCAGAGTTACTGGAATAGTGACACAGGCAGGATGCCAAAGATGTCCAGGTTTCAGAGGCACATGGGTTCACACGCAGGCTGACAAATATAGCCTTGGTGCTCTGTCTAGCTTAGGTTTTTTTTTTTGGGGAACAAGTTGTTCCACCAGTAAAACGTGCTTTTTATATTACTGTAGAAAACTATAAAGGACATGAAAATCAATAACGTAGATGAAAAAATACAAACAGAAAGCAGAGATAATATTATCAAAGTATTATTAATAAACAATATCATTATTAGACAATGTTTGTTTGTGCTGAAAGTGTAATGTGCATTGAGTGACCCAGCTCTGCAGTTTGGGCTCTTAGAGTGTGGCGTCCTCTAGTGTCACAATGAAGCAATGACATGCACAGCACTCTAAATGGGAAGATAAAAAGAAGTAGCTGTCTTAAAAATCCAGCAAATGAAGATGCAATTTTCAGTGTTAAAGAAAGATCAACACAATTAACTGCCCGTTTAACATACGGCATGTTTCTACCATTCTGAGAAACTTGCAGCTTTCACCTGTGGGCTAGGAGCCATAATGGCTTTCAGGCCTAATTCTGGTTGGTCCCTGGACACTGACAATCTGCAATAGGGTCATGGATCAAGAGACGTCTGACTAATTTAGGTCTTGCACCGAAGAGGTTTCAAACCTCCAATGAAAACCATTATTAAGTCCCATAATGCATTTCACCTTCTTGTGGTAACCTTGAACGACAATATTTTTAGAAAACTGCACACGTTGCTCCATAACTGCTTCGTAATGAAGAAACTGTTTGGTTTACCATTTCGTTTCCTGGTGTCCAGGGGATGAAGCCCAGTGACTCTGGTGATCCCCTGACCTTTCCTGTCGTTCCACCGTGAAGATGACATTTTGTGGTTTTGTGTGAAATGTCTCAACAACTACTGACTGGATAAAGTGTAAACATTTTGGTGATTACACTTCAACACTGTCAGTGCAACATTTTAATTTGTCCAATATTGTAGTTTATAACCAAATATCGTAAAAATGACATTCCCATCAGCCTCAGCTGTAGCTAATTATCAAATGCTAGTATGCTAATACGCTAAGATGATGAACATTACCTACTAACGTGTACTGTGTCAGCATTGCCATTATAGTTTGTCTTGTTTCACTGTTTCATCCTCATTTCATGTTAGAGACTCATTAGGCTTCCTGGTTTAGTTTTATGAAACCAGTCTTTCACAGCTGCTTTCATTTGTTATTGCTATGACTTAACGCTGTGATGTCCAGTATGAGGCGATCACAAAACATCCTCTGGATCATTTTTCTCTATGAACACATTGGGATGGAAGGTTCATAGAAAGGCAGGATGCCTTAGTGATGCAACATCTCTGACTCATCTGGTGGTGTTGCTCTAATCGCCGGCAATGCACCGAGCACTGCCTGATTGCTGCTATGTCAAGGGTAACGCCAAAGGCAATTAAGGCAGTGTGTCCCTTTTTATCTGGCTGCTATTTGCTGCACAGGTTCTGGCAGTGGTCCCAGAAGATTAATAAGTGTAATGGTGAAACTGGCACTCACCACTGTCTCGTCACTGTTTTCATTAACCATATTGCTAAATCAGCTGGCTGGACTGTTTAAAAGCATATTTTCATTTGCACGGCAGTTGAGGTGGCTTGAGGAGGTAACAGTGTGAAGTTCAGTTTAAGCCTTTCTTTTTTTTGTGTTTTTAGCATTTGGTATTGTTTTAAAGTCTCTTTAGGGGCAAGTGGTGATACAGAAAATTGCATATTTTATGCTTCTCAGCAGAGGTTGAACTAAATAGTGATTTTCACAAGCCATTCTGGTAGTGTATGGATTTTTCTGGAGAACTGTGTGGGCATTGTGATGCAGCTCTCTCCAACTGTCCAGTGTAGAAAGTCTAATAAAACTGGTGAAACTTAAATCAACTTAAGTGACAATAGTGGCACAGAAATATTTAGTAGGAAGAAGCTTAAAAATAGCAACAAAAACTGCTTTGGATGTTCAGACATGTTTTTAATTCTTTTTTCTTCTTATACTGTATATCTGACATTAACACTTGTGAAATAAATTGGCACAAAACATGCCAATTGTTGCACTGTCTGTAGGCAGCATCAGGCGTTCTCTGCACACCCTGCAATAACATACCAATTGACTTCTTCATGACTTTTGTACTTTTTGTTTAATCAGTTGTGTCTACCTGATGGGGTGGCAGCTGTGATCTGTGCCACTCCTGCAGCTCGTCATAAAATATTCACCAGTTACATGTTAGATGCCTGTAAACAAGCAAGGCAGGAGCTATTTGCCTTTTCATGTTGCTGTTGAGTCCGGCTTCCTCCCACAGTCCAAAGACGTGCAGCTTAGGTTGAATGGAGACTTTAAACTGTCCATAGGAGTGTGTGTGAGTGGTTGTTTGTCTACATGTCAACCCTGTGATAGACTGGCGACCTGTCCATGGTGGACAGGCCAATGTCAGCTGGGATTGGCTCCAGCCCCCCAGTGACCCTGTTCAGGAATAAGCGGTATAGATATGAATGAGTGTTGCTCTTGCTGGAGCTTAACTGCTACTGGGGAAAAAAAAAACACAACTTCCCATCTATCTTCTGCCTGCCTCTGTACTGCAGCAAAATCATCCTAAGCAGACTGGTAACCCCTTCTTACCCTCCTCTCCACCTCCCCTCTCTGGTCTTCACCCCTCACTGCACTCAGGTTCCTGCAGCAGGGAGTCAGTTGAGCTCTGCCAGAACCACTGCAGACCGCTGTTAAATATCTTCAACCCTCCACACACCACTCGATTCCCCTGTTTTTACACTTCCCTCCCTTTCCTCCTGCGTCTAATTCTCATAGCTCAGCACTCCATCTGTTTGGGGTTGTTAGTGCGCCAGAGAACCGCCCTTCCCCCCATACCCGATTGCTAAGAAGGAGGGTTTTTACTGAGTAGCTCCTCAGCCAATGAGCAAACAGTGCCGGGAAATACAGCAGTGGAACTGCACCGACTCTGATGCTTGTGCTGATTTCAGTGTGCGAGTACAATGTTAATCTGTGTGAGTGCGTCCACTCCTGTCTGCCTGATCTGAGTGCACCTCAGCAGCACCTTGAGCCCAGAAAAGTCTTGTTTGTGAGTGTCGAGGGGGCGGGGGGGAGGGGGGTTGCTGCGTCTTTTGAGTGGGTTGAACCAAAGTTAAAGATTTTTTTTTTCTGACAAGAGCATATCTGACCCTATTCTCTGCTTCTGCTCCTTGTTTAAGAGGCAGCACATCTCTCTTCAAGGTAAGTTGCTTTTTTCTTTCTTTCCAGAAGAACTTCATCAGTTACAGAGACTCTGCTGTGTACCAGGTTGTCACAGAGGCACCTAGTCTCATTGCACATCCATCTGAATGTGCAAGAAAAGCTCTGCAGAGAGAAGAGGGGGAGAGAGTGAGTGGCTCGGGGGCAATCAGAGCAGACAGTGCTAGTGTTTTGTCAGTTGCCTCTCATTTCAATGCAGAGTCCTCTAGTAATAGCAAATCTGTCAGTGGAACTTTTACAGCATGCCGGTACTGGGAGCCCTCATGCCTTGTGCGCAGCATCATGTAGTCCTGCAGTATAATGTTTCATAATGAAAACAGACGTGTGTGAGAGTAGAACTTGAGATGGGAGTTTCTTGTACTGTAGAAAACAAATATGCTCTTTTCATTGGTTCATTATAATCTAGAGGTTTTTGGTTTCAAGGTAAATAGTTTTCTGAACAAGAAAAGCATTAGATGACAGATTTTTTTTTTCCCATCTGTATTTCTTTACTGGCACATTTTTTACAGTGTGTCAGTCTTTAGAGGGCCATCTCTCAGTAAAAGCTCTGAGGGGATGCATGCAAGTCAAATCCGCTGAACCAGCAAAAGTGAAAGGCCCACCTAAGAGTCTGCAGAGCTCACGGCTGAATCTGTGTTGCACTAGTAGCTGTTAAACTACTGGGTTTATACCTTTTATCTAAATGCTTTATAGGCACTTATTTTCCTCACTGACTGTGTTACTGTGGTGGAATGTACACTGATATTTAGTTGTGCCACATTCTCCTTGTATGCCCTTACTTCCCATGTGGATATTCCTCCGTTTTGCTTATTGATTACGAAACATTTAGATGAATGATCTGTGTCGGTACTGTGTTGTTAGCCCCTGGGCTGATAATGATGCAGCAGTATAACCAGATCCTGTGATGCAGTGGTTTCTTCAGTCCCTGGGGGTGTTATGAGTACATGACTGGGACACTCCTGAGTGTGTAGTGCCAAATGAAGCTCCCATGTGGATATTCTTCCGTTTTGCTTATTGATAACAAAACATTTAGCTTTAGCTGCAGATTTAGATGAATGATCTGTGTCGGTACTGTGTTGTTAGCCCCTGGGCTGATGATGATGCAGCAGTATAACCAGATCCCGTGATGCAGTGGTTTCTTCAGTCCCTGGGGGTGTTATGAGTACATGACTGGGACACTCCTGAGTGTGTAGTGCCAAATGAAGACTTACCGTTGACATCAGAAGAGGTGAATCAGGGTGTGTGTAGCAGCAGTGTGTCTATTCTGAAGCTGACAGACAGCTTTTCTGTCCCGTAATGTGCGGCTTGGTGCAAAAAATGTTTTACAGGTGAAAAGTAGCATATCTTCAAATAGGAGATGGTACAGAGTGTAAATGTATAGTGAATGTGTGACCTAAAAGTACAATAAGAGAGCAGGCTTAAGCTTAGTAAATAGCAACATACACTTAAAATGTTATCTTCTCCTCTAGTATCTGTTTTAATAACCATTTGAGACAGTCATGGTTAATTCCCTCATATGACTAATTAAATGGGCTAGAGCATTAGATTGTGAGAGCACAAAGTAGTAAAGCAGTACATTTTATAAAATGACAAGGAAGTGAGGGTTTTCCTGGAAAATAAAAATCTAAACAGCAATAATAAAATAAAAGGTTTTATAAAGTCAGAAGTCTGAAAAAAACTATGACAAGGAGAGAAAGTCACTGTGCATCTAAAGTTGTGTTTTCTTGCTGAATTTGCATTTGCCTGCACACTGAGAGGGGATTAGTCATATAGCTTTGCAGCCTGTGCTTGTTGTCTGGTGATTATTCAGCATGAAATTTTTTATACAAGACAATATTATTGAGTGTCCTCTTCTCTAGCCGCCTTGATAAACATATCCAAGCACACATCTTTTTTAGCTGCACTAGCAGTCGGCCTAGTAAGGCCGTGTTAGTCTGTCTGTCAACAACTACTGGATGTATTACTACTAACTTAGGTACAGACATTCACCTTATCCAGACAGTGTGTCATAAGGATCTTGCTTTTGTTATGGATTTTGCAACCAGATTCTGTGCAGTAGCAACCAGAGATGGAGCTGTGGTAACACTAGTCAAAAGATGGAAAATCACCCCAAACACACCCTTTATAATATCATCAAATAACTTATTTTAAAAAATTATCAGGAAAAATTACCATCTATTATCTATACTGCCTACCCTACGCCTATACCCTGAAGAAGGTTGCGGGGGTGCTGGAGCCAACTGGTGCCAATCCCACTGGGTGAGAGGCAGAGTACAACCTGACCAGGTCGCCAGTCTGTCAGGGGAAATTGACCACTTGAACACAGTTCAGTGTGATATCATCTACCTAAAATGACAAATCATCTTTTGGAGAAACATCTATCATTTGTGAGTTGAATTTTTTGTTTGGCTCACGTCCCATCTGATAAAAGGGAGGATGATTTATACTGCAGCCAGCCACCAGGGGGCTTTGTTTCTGGGAGCTGTGTCTCTGGTGCATTTTTATATGCAGTCTATGGTCTTTGGTTTAGTAGGGCTCAGCTGGTCCATATCTGTCTCACTGTAAAGTATGCAATGATGATGATGCCTGTTCAGTGGCTTTGTAAAATAAATCTGAATCCAGTAGTGCTTCTTGTTATAGACAGTTGTTGCAGTAGTCAGGAGGCCTCGCATCAAATTCCCACATTAAAACTCATCCTGAGGAGAGGTGTGCACACCTGGATCACTCCTTCTGTTTGATGGTTCATGAAATGGGATTCTGTGCTGCAGCCTATACTCCTGTCATCACTAGACTGAGATCCTTTTCACAGGCAGTCAGGTGCATCAATGTACACGAAGCACTCTGATGATGGTCTTATACACAGTGATGTGTGTGTTGTATGCCTGAATCATTTTAAACTGTAATGCTGGTTGACAAAATGGCATTTGAAGATGATTCTGTGCTGAGAAACATTTTAGCAGCTATCACAGTGATGTCAAGATAGTTCTGCGGACTGTGAGAAAAGCGTCTGAACCAATGTCTTTGTAGGTGCTGCAGTGCGTTTTCTGTCAAAGCCATTAGCACAACATGTCTCTGCCTGAGATACAGTAGCATGGCTTTGTTATGAGGCTCGTCCTGCCTAAAAAGGAGAGGTGTGCCACTACACAGCCCAGCTATCGAACCTCTGGTCCTTTTTCTCTAGGTTGCATTCAGACTGAGAAAGGATAAGGATAATCACCTTTATTGGCCAAGTACGTTACACACAAGGAATTTTTTTCCGGTACAGAACCGATGGCTAACGACAGACAGAGAGGGAAAAGCTGAAAAAAATATGAAAATGAAATAGATTTACTGACACAACATGTACTTGACTTTATAAACACTTTGTCTCCAATGCTGGTTAGAAATCCAGCATGCAGGGAGAAAGACAACGACGGAGTATTTGGTTTTCAGCCTGCAACTTTACTGCTTTGGTTCAGTGTCACTGCTATCATCAGCTCTCAGTAATTGTGATCATCATATCATTGCAAGAGACAAATGATTACATGTATTTCCACAATGATTTAAAAAATGCCAAATTATATGATATATTGCCTTAAACCACGGGTTTGTCTCTTGTCAGATTTACTTAAGAAGTTTCTCATTGCCTCAGTGAAGACTATGCACGTGACTCGACTGTCTCCATCTTTGTTTCCACCCTATCTGTGCCTTAATGTCAGCCTCTTCCTCCTTTAAGGTCACACCCTCATGCACCAGTATCCAGTGCTAGTTGATCATTGGTCAGGTTATTTTTAGAATTAGGAGGAAGGGGGGAGTGTTTGTGTATGACTTCGTTATTTATGACTGTAAAGAGTTAATCTAGTTTTGTTCAGTGTATCAGCTATCAAGGAAAAAATTACTGTTGTATAGTATATGCTTTGTTTTTTAATATTACAAGCATGAAAACAGATTGTTGCCTTTTTCCTTTATATATCAAACTTTCCTGCCAATCAAACCTAATTTTTGATGTGACTGTCTCAGTTAAATCTTTCCTCACCAATGGGACTGTTGCAGTAGTTTGGCTTGAAGTTAATGCACAGTATGTTTAACGGGGAACATTTAGAAGAAAGATATTGTGCAGTTACTTACTTACTCTTGCTGGTTTTACCCCAGAGATTAGAAATGTTTTCCACTTGAAAACAGTTCCTTCACTTACACATGCTCTAAGTAAATGGTACTGTAATATACTGCTGCATAAAAGTGTTTACTTCTAATGCCTAATGGACACAAGAAGGACATTTGGTTTTGGTGACAGAGCTACATTTTAGTTGCCAGTTTTCTAGTCCACTTTAAAAGCTGTGATTAAAATAACGTCTCTTCTGCTGTGCTGTATTGGGCAACCCTGGGTGAGTTCAAAGGGCGGATGGCTGATTCAGGAGGCGTGTTAGCTGATGAAGCTAATCTGAAGATGGACCATTAGCTCATTCTGCATGTTCTCCCACATCAGGGTGTTACTGTGATATAACTCCCATACTATGTTGTTTAGTTGGGGATAAGGACAAGGCTGGCATTAGTCTGAACTTTTGTTATTCTTCTTATTGTGAACCTTATTATTAATAGTTTGGCCCATTGAGACCTAAGGACTTTTTACAAGTGTCCTGGAAATATGAATTATGAGATGGCCAAAACCAATGGGAGAGGAAGTCCGTCTGTCAGTACCCTCAGTGCCTCATCTCAGGACTGTGTCGGTGTGCAGCAACAGAGCTCGTTTGATTAACATCTTTACCACTTTACTGTCAGGTTTGTTGACCCTGATAAGGTGGGACAAATTAAACCTTTATCATTCTTATTAGAACATGGAATTTGTTTACCAGACATACAGTATTTCCCAGCATAACACTTCTGACTTACAACCTGAGCAGAGGTCTAATCAGTGAAAAACACCTGTGTGCTTGTACAGGGCCTTAACAATTATTAGCTCCACCCATGCTTTTCTTGCTATGATAACTCTGCTATTGCAGATG